CAAGAACCTTTAAATGGATTGTTATGAAACTTGGTAGGTGGGTAGGTCTAATGAGACCTAAAAATGATTAGATTTTGGGCATCCTGGCGGCTTTCTTAGGTACTGCAGTAGAACTTCCGGTTTTGATATCTCGTGATCTGGACATGCTAGGGTCACGAATTTTGGGTGGTAAATAGCCCTTTAGCTAGGAAAGAAGTGACATGAGTTTGGGCCCCCTAGCGGCCTGTTCTGGAACTGCAGGAGCTTTAGTTGAAAAAATTTCGAAGGAGAATAACTCGAGAATGGGTTGACGAATTGTCGTGATTTTTGGTGTGTGAGTAGCTAAAGTGATGCTTGACATAATTAAATGACAATTATGCAAATCAGGAGCTAATTTGCATAATTAATGAGGAAATTCTTTAAATCTGATTTGTTCAATAGTAAAACAATAAAACACATGTGACATGTAATTGGGAACGAAGAAAAACATATGAGGATATAGATCATGTAACTGAAGACCTAATTTGCATAATTAATGGAAAATTCTCGAATTTCACACTTCCACATTTGGAAGTTATGTACAGGTGAACAACAATAAACAGAATTTATTCAAATCATGACCTCATTTGCATAATTTATGAGGAATTGCTAGAATAGCCTTTTATGTTAAGATAAGGCTGTCATTGGGTGGATAATATGATCAACTGATGTAATCCATGCAAATGAGGCTCTAATTTGTGAAGATTGTATAATTTGTCAACCGAACTCTTGTTTAATTTTTTATAACTTCTTGCTCAGCTCTTTGTAAACAATAATTGTAAAATACTTTGATTATTTTATATGAGGTATGGAAAAATCTCGAGCTTTTTGTATTAGCAATTTTATGTTAACTTTTAACCCTATGTAGACGGGGGGGGGCCTAAAAGTCGCCCGCGCCAACTTTGATGTCGGATAGCGTCCGAACGACTTGCACTAGAACCACCAAACTTAGTGACTTTTCATAAAATATTGTTGGCAACAATTTTGTATCAGTACAATGAGGTAATTATTTTTGTGTTGCCATGGCAACGGGTTTTTGACGGGCATTTTTGGCTAAATTTAGTAATTTTCGTTTTAGCAATGGAATTTTCTGGGTTTATGTAAAGTTACACATACTTTATAATATCAATAATATCTCATATGATTTTATGTAAATTTCGTCAGTAAATATGCATAATTTATGCTAATTTGATGACGTCATTGGCCAAAATCAAAGAAGGCGGACAACATCATTACACACGGTATAAACAGGTTATTTTCCTTAAAATTTCATCATTGCTTCCATTTCTTTTTACAAAAAAGAAATGGAACGTCTTAAGACGTTCATTTGAACGTCTTAAGTCTATATTTAATGTATTTTAGCCTTTATTTTGGAACAAAAAAATGTCAAAATTCGAGTTTTATAATCCAAGATGGCGGATAGCTTAAATATGCATGACGTCATTTTATGCCGTCACTGGTGTGGGCAACATAAGTCTTAGTACACCCTAATATTCTATTATGAACACTTTTTGTTAAAGTCACGTTGGTTACCATTGAGCAACCTATCTATACAGTTTTTGCCAATAAAATTACATTAATGACGTCATAATGACGTCATATTACGTCATAACGACATCAAAATTGCATTTATAATAAATTTTTAAATTTTTACTAGTACACCATCCTTTGGAAATTTGGTGGTCATACGATATACTGTTCACGAGTTCTGAGGGGGGGAGGCGAATGATCCCCCCCCCGTCCCACGAAGCCCAAAAAAGCCCGGTCTGGATAGGGTTAACATCTAGATATTTTGTTCAAGAAATCCGAATTAGCGGTCTGTGACGCTGTTTCCGGACGGATTGTTGGGAGTGCCGTGTGCCACGCTCTGTCGATCCCGGCCCGCGGCCGAGAATATCAACAGCCGAGTTTTTCCGAGTTTCTATTCCCTGCTCCTGCGTTACATAACGTATGTTTGTCGTAACATAGGGCTGTCGTAATATAGAGCCGACCCCTCCGCGGTTGAGGCGAAATATCGCTACAATCGTCTGGCGGTCAAAGTTTGACTGAGTTTGAAATCTTAAAGCCCAGCCAGTGGGCGGGTCCCCGTCTGTGCGCTTTGATTGGGCGGGTCTGCTAGCTATGCTGCATACGTGCTGTTTCTATGGCAACGTGGCCAGTCACAGTAACACGAAATGTAGCAATATTCTTGATCGGCGTAAACAAAGGCAATGGGCGTTAGAACATTTGAGTATTATGCTTCGCCCCTTCTTTTGTATAATATTTAATCTCTCTTTCGCAACTCCGTGCGTCGACCTCCCCTATCTAGGAGAAAAATAAAGCTTAAGAACATCTCGAGTGGCGACATGGCACGTGGATTTTTATGTTTTCAGTAGCGTTTGTCTGTTTGTCCGTCCGTTTATTTGTGAACAGCATAAATCTAGAAGCTTAATATGCATTGTCATGAAACTTTGTAGGTGGGTAGGCAGCAGAACTTCCGGTTTTGATATCTCGCGATCTGGACATGCTAGGGTGACGAATTTTGGTTAGTAGATAGCTCTTGGGGCAGGAAAGAATTGACGTCAGTTTGGACCCCCTAGCGGCTTGTTCTGGAACTGCAGGACCATTTATTAAAAAAACTTCGAAGGATGATAACTCAAGAACGGTTTGACAGATTGTCGTGTTTTTTTGGTATGTGGGTAGCTGAAGTGATGCTTGACATAATAAGATGACAATTATGCAAATAAGGAGCTAATTTGCATAATTATTAAGGAAATTCTATAAATTTGCTTCGTTTGATGATAGGACTATGAAACACATGTGCGATGTAATTGAGAAGGAGAAAAGCATCTGAGGATATAGATTATGTAAATGAAGACCTATTTTGCATAAATAATGGAAAATTGCTTTAATTTTATAGTTGTAACTGCTGAGAATGTCATACCGCATCTGAAAGTTAAGTGAAGGTGAACAGCAATAAACATAATTTATTAAAATCATGATTTCATTTGCATAACTTATGAGGAAGTGCTAGATTAGCCTTTTTTCTTAAGATAAGGCTGTCGTTGGGTGGAGAATATGATCAACTGATACAGTCCATGCAAATGAGGCTCTTATTTGCAAAATCAATGATTAAGATTGCATAATTCGTCAACCAGAAGGGTTAACATCATTTGGCGAAAGTATGAGATCGTGGAACTCTTTTTTTATTCTGTTTTCTTTAACCAGGGTGACCCTCTCAGTGGCTACGCACTGCTTTTCAGCGGGGCCCTGGATGTGTTAGATTTTATATCTGAGATAGCGCGGGTCGGGTGACATCCAACGCAGTACTTAAAATTAGGCCACAGCAAGTAAATTTTATGGATGACATCCGCGCGCGCACTAATTTTCGCCTGATTTTGAAAAAAAAAACAAGAGATTTTGTTGCCTTCTGACAGTGGTCAACTTGCCGAAATGGGCAAAGATGTCTGTTGCCATGCCGGAAGGTGGGTGGCAGATAACTAGGAAAAGAGGAGACAAGAAAAGGCTCTGATTTTATGTTTTGTTTCTTACTTTGATGCAGTGATATGTGATGCTGGTTGTGTATATGTGATGTTCCTATACTGAATCAAAACCATTTGTACAATGATTGAGTCAAAATTTTACATCGTAGGAACCTTGTTTTTTTCGGCCCGCCTTGTTTTTTTTCGCCCGCTCGCATTATATTTAGAGTCTGCGGAGGATGTCATCCATAAAATTTACTTGCTGTGGCCTTAGCGGGCCGTCCACATCGCAAGGTCAGACAGAAATTCTGGTACCAAGAAGGTTGTATTATCGTTCTAAACATTATCAAGCCACCAGATTTGCCCATATTAGGAAAAAAAATGTTTGATTAAAACACTATTCGTTTGTGCTACTGTTATTATTACGCATTGCAAACATACATGCGCTGCACCGTCTGTCTGTAAAAATCTTAGTCGACGTAGTGCCCGAAAAATCCCGCGGGATATCCCGATAAATTCGGATTTGATGATCCCATGAACTGTTCTGTATTATCCCGAAAAAGATTGAAACTGTCTGACAAAACGACAAAATGAAATGTTATATCATGAGTCATAAACGTAAACAAACGACCCCCCCACCCCCCACCTCGTGTACACTAAACGACACCCAGTAGATTTCTAGCGGGGACCAATCATAGGGCTACTGACAGGTCACCGACTAGCAGCTATAAGCACCTTGTTTCATGTAAATGCCATCGACGCAACCCAAGCGCGTTGCTTGTTTACTTCAGAACTATTATAAACATGTAGTGATCTGTATTTTAACCCCATGGTACTAACAAGGGCTGCATCTAACCTCCACAATCACTTTGTAAAATCTACTTTGCTGAACAAATAGAAATGGGACTGTAGACAACAACTTGAACAAACCAACAAAGACAACAGCACCAGACCAAAAAAATAAATGTAAAGCGTTGGAAAAAAATGAAACAGACTTACAAACGGATTGCTCTGCTTGGAGAATACCGCAACAAGTTCAAGCGCTCACAACAACTTTATTTACTTAACAGCCATAATGAAATCTATTTCTCCCTTCTCATTACTTTCAACTAAGCTTAAGTTGATGAAGCATTTCTTTTTTGTGTAGCATGTGCTATCATCAAAATCGTCACAGTGCTGCGGGTTTCAAAATTACTATTTTTCATCTACATGTATATATGAAGAGTTACATACATATATTGCTGTAATCAGATTGAAGTGATCAGATGTGTTTTCTTCTTTAAGTGGTCTCGTACCAATTTCATCAACTTGGGTTATATCATTTCAACAACTTCTACCTCAATAACGACAGTAAAACCTTCGTCAGCCGAAATGTCAGCTTTTTTTTAAAGCACTTGTTTACCTCCATGCCACTTTAAATAAAGCAAATTACGACATGAGTCCCCACTGGATCGATCGTAAAATTAGTTAAATATTTTAAAAATCATTTTTTGAGTCACAAAAAGTATTTTAAAGACTTACCCAAACACACTGGCTGTGTTCCCAACCAGGTCCTGTTGTCTCGATTGCAGTAGTAGTCACCTTCCATAATGTACTCGTAAAAGTACCCCCCGGTAACAGAAAACGGAGGTCCGACTAAGAATTCTGCTTCGTTTGGGCACGTAACGTTGCATCGTCCAAGGAATTCCCACCCGCTCAGACCACTCTTCCTTATCTCGTGATATGTGTAGTCACAGTCCACCCTGACGCCATCGGTGGTATCCCATGGGAAGTCCCCACATGGCCTGGGGTCTAAATTGAAATATAAGACATATCTTTACTTCATGATTCACTCAAATGTTTATGAATGGTTTATTTATTTCAAAACCAATGTCACAAACATCGCAGCCGGAGCGGCGTTAAGACATTCACGTAATTAGAGTAAAGATATGATGACAACATATTTACATAAACATGCATTTAAAATTCGAATACAGACTTGAATAAAACGTATTTACAAAAACATGCAATATATTTATATAGATCTACGTGCGGAGTAAAAAAAAAAGTCCTATACAGCATTGTATTTGTTTAGGGCTACTGTACAGCCAGTGAGGACAGATGTTTGCCGATGTTAGACTTGTTTATACCCATATGGGAAACAATCACGCGGTAGCTTGTTCCATAGTAATGTTGTTCTAGAAAAGAAGCTTTCAGCGCGGAACTTCCTATTGAGAGGTGATGAATGGAGGAGGAAAGGGTGATTTGCTTCAGTGGAAGTGGCAAGACGTGTCCGTGCTGAGAATGTTCGAAGTGGGGTCACTAGCTAGTGAAGTTCTGCGGTAATCTCTAAGCAGATCTTTCGGTTGGGTGGTAAAAGAGCGTATCCATTGGCCGTCCAGTATCCATTTCCAAACCAAAGGCTAATGGACAGTCCTCTGGCCTATGGATACTGTCTTGCCACCGAAAGATCTGCTTGGAGATTAGTTCCGCGGGGCATTTACCGTGGATACATCAATAAAATAACTCCACATCTTTCTAATACCATTATTACTCAATTAGAGTTTAAGCCTATGTCAAGCACATCTGATGAGATTGTGAACTTCATTTTGCAATATTCCTTAAAAAGGATGGGACGTTAGATCTTGTATGGTTTGCACCTTCTTGGTTCAGTGAACAAAGAAAATCCAACACAAACACTCACCTTCAGTAGTCGTTATCGGGCTATTTTCGGTAGTTTGGCCACGGCTTTCCTCGGACCAGACCAGAAGCGTGGCCAAGAAAAGAAGAAAGATCCCCTTTCCCATGTTATCTATACCTGGAACACTTCACTACCTTGTGTAAAAAGACTTAAGACCAGTTTTAAACGAGCACGAAAACAAAGACGTCGACAGCCTAACGCCACAGTTCCGTCAGTAACTTTTGTAACTCGACTTCTCTGCGCATGGTGCCTTCAGTAACTCGACTCCTCTGCGCATGGTGCGAAAAAATTCCAAGTTGAAAACAAAATACCTTAACGCTTCACCTTACCAGCTAGGTGAAACATCCATTGTCTGTCTGACACGCTAACCAGTCTGTGACTCAGGCAAGTATGACTGAAACGTAAATAACAAGAAACATAGAGTACCGGGCCTTCCAAATTAAGCCAACCAAGACATCAAAGTTGGCACGGGCACTTTTAACCCCCCCCCGCCCGGTCTAGATAGGGTTAAAAAAAATTGTCAAATCCCCCCCGCCCCCGAGTTTACACAGGGTACACATCATGCTGACGTGTTGATACATGACCACCAGCTGTTTTCTTGGGGTAAGGTTGGCAAGAATGCAGCCCCTGTCATGGATAAACAGTGGAACGGGTTCGTTGACGGTGACTAAGATTAGACAAGGCTCCAGGTAATGCCGTCACGTCAGGGGAAAAGAATGCGCCTCACCAATAGGTCAAACACCTGTTCTTGTGTTGTGGGTATCAAAATATATCCATACATGCCGCACACGAATCGTACTCTCTAGCAGACCAGAAAAGGGACTTTTGTCCACGATTTATTTTGGATGGACATTTTTTTTTATTTTAAATATGTCTTCCAAATTTTGCTCAGAAAGACCATATTACTACAAAACAAAGTGAGATGTAAAGATGATGAGTCAGATTAATTTTAACATACAATGGCTAGATCCTAACCCGTTTTCGGTCCAACCAACTCTTTTGTTGAATAAACGTAGCATTAGCAATTCGACAACATAATCAATCTATATCCAATTTTACATTGCAGACAATAACACCCCCATGAAACTCCTTCCTCTTCGCCCCCGCCGTTCTGCTTCGCCCCCGCCCCGTTCTGCTTCGCCCCCGCAAAAAATCTGCTTCGCCCCCGTCGTTCCTCTACGCCCCCGGCGCAATTCTGCTTTGCCCCCGTCCTTCTGCTTAGCCCCCAATGGCGGCACAGCTCACAGTCGACACGAAAATCGTCTGCAAAATAACAATAAAGGCTGTGCCGCCAAATTTAAAGTAGCCCATGCTCCGGCAAACATTCTGGACCACCTTTCTGCCAAGTGGCGTTGCACAAATCCTTCCCATTCAAAAGTTTACCCCTACCTCACGGCCCGTCAGTGGTCTCGTCTAGTTTTTACACAGCATTCTAAATCCATGTCACCTCACACAGCAAGGTATTGCCTTATAAATTCTACTTAGTATTTGCAGCACAATTTTTAACTTAACGCTATTACTGATAGCTGTCATTTTTTCACTATTGTCTACTTGTATCAAAAGGAACACGATTAGTTACTGTTCAATTGGCTGATACAAAATCCCGCCATTATCCAAATTGGCTTTAATTAGTACCCACCTTCCATGGCGATCAGCCTAGCGTCTGTCCAGCCGTGAGTAAAATTTCCCGCCAGTACTTATAAACGTAAGAACCACTGACGGGCCGTGAGGTAGGGGTAAACTTTTGAATGGGAAGGATTTGTGCAACGCCACTTGGCAGAAAGGTGGTCCAGAATGTTTGCCGGAGCATGGGCTACTTTAAATTTGGCGGCACAGCCTTTATTGTTATTTTGCAGACGATTTTCGTGTCGACTGTGAGCTGTGCCGCCATTGGGGGCTAAGCAGAAGGACGGGGGCAAGGCAGAATTGCGCCGGGGGCGTAGAGGAACGACGGGGGCGAAGCAGATTTTTGCGGGGCGAAGCAGAACGGGGCGGGGGCGAAGCAGAACGGCGGGGGCGAAGAGGAAGGAGTTTCATGGGGGTGAATAACATCGTGCTTAATGTGTCTGGACGCAATTCATATACTTGTATCAGATTTGTGCATACAGTTGACCTGCTTTCACTCTTATATACATGTATATTATACATCAGCTACAATAAAATAGAACAGTAGACTTTTTAATATATTGGGGCTAAAAACTATTTGAAGCTTTAACTTTAGAGCATTCTAAATTGTTACGTCGTTTTGACTGGTATAAAGCAGAGAAGATAGGTAGGTGATTAGCATTAATTCTTCTAAAAATGTAGATTAAACAACAAAACTGTAGTAAAAGGTCACAAATTTATCGCGAAGACTAGTAAAAGGGTCGTCTGATGGTTGAGACACAGCTCGCGTCCCAGACGATAGACTGAAAGAAACGGGGAATTCTCACTTCTCCACACAGACAGATGAATATGGGGACGACTTCATCGAGCTATATCTCACTGCTTATCACCTGGGGAATCCTGATGCTGAACATCCGGGGGAGATCGAGTCGTCTCAACAGGAGCCAGGCTGTCATGATGCTTCATTTTCCGAAGGTTAGAGTTACAGTAATTAGTTGTATTTCTAAAGGTGGTATTGACATGGTAAGTTTTTACCTCCTTGAAAAATATCTCGTCTACATAAACGTTGAAGAGAGAGCTCACTGTTTTTTCTTTCGCTACAGACACCGTCAGGGTGGTGAATTAGAAGAGGACGCAGTCACCATCACACAAAATGTACATAGTAGTACATTGTAGTTTATGGAGGTCTACGAATTCTTGTTCAGTACAAGATGTGGTGGAAAATACGATGCATACTTTCACTGAAATGACGATAAAAGTTGTTTCAAAATTGGATTGGAAAATTAATTAAAATCGAGTTGATAACCTTGGAATTCAGCCACAGGATTTCAAAGAGTATAACAAATGCAAATATACCAATAAGTATGATTTAGCGAGAGAGTTAATTAAGGGTTAATGACCTGCCCCGAGGTGAATATGGCGTGATAAAGCCTTTGCAGTTGCTATAACCACCGAATAAAGCCACTGAGAGGGTTGCTCCAGGGTGTGCTTTATTCCGCAACAAAGGGCACTTAGAACTAAAGCACACTTGAGAATAAAGCACACTTGGGATGATGTTGCAATACTTGTATCATGCTACATGTGACATTATGGTGTCATAATCAATATGGATTTGGGCTTCTGATTGGTCAACGCCACCTGGCTATGATAATAACCAATACAACTAAAAGCAGAGTGCTGGATAAGGCACAATGAACGATGTTTGATTTTTTTTCCTATTTAGTACATGGAACTAACGACGACAACATCGAGCCATATCTTGTCTCTCCCTGTGAACAATTGTCAGTTGCTATCATGCTACTATCTTTTGCAATGTTTATTTATTTATTGAAACAAAAAAAAAATGAATTAACACAGC